ATAACACACACACAGAAAGAGAGAGAGAGAGAGATACGGCAGAAGGACGAAGACCTACAAAATAAAAATAAGAAAACACACAAAACCAGAACCAAGCCAAATAACTAAAAATAAATCTTCTTAAAAAAAACTCCCGTATCACTTTTTCAGCAACCAGACGGCCCAGCTTTATTAATGAATAAAGTCACCGCCAACCGCACTGTATCAACAAGCCATGGTGTATGTTGCAGTAGACTTGGTATGGATTTAACCTCCTCCCTCCTCTTGGGCTTGCAAGACTCGAGGCAAGGTCGGACTTTAAAAGCTTGGGATTGTGACACACATATGCACTTGGAGAGAGAGAGAGAGAGAGAGAGAGAGAGAGAGAGAGAGAGAGAGAGAGAGAGAGGGAGAGAGAGAGAGAGAGAGAGAGAGAGAGAGAGAGAGAGAGAGAGAGAGAGAGAGGGAGAGAGAGGGACAGAGAAGAGAGGAAGGAGAGAGAGACGAGACGGAGAGGAGGAGAGAGAGGAAGAAAAGGGGGGCTGGAGTGGGAGAGAGGAAGAGGAAAAAGGGAAGAAGGGAGAGGAGGGAGATGGACAGAGTCAGAAAGGAAGAACGAGGGAGAGAACAGGAAACTATTTGGAAAGGGAGAGGAGGGAGAGAGAAAGGGAGGTGGGGTAGATATGAAGAAAAAAAAAAAGCTGTCGCTAGAATAGAAGCCACTTATTCAGTAAGAAATGAGAGATAGATATCCAATAGAGATAGATATATAGGAAGACAGAAAGAGAGGGAGAGACAGGGGTGAGGGAAAGAAGGAGAGAGAAACGGAAAGGAAGGGGAATGAGAGGAAGATGAATAGAGGAGAGAGAGAAGAGGCGAGGGAGGAGGGAGAGGGGAAGGGGGAGAGGGAAGAGTGAGAGGGAGAGAGGGAGAGGGAGAGGGAGAGACAAAGAAAGAGAAAGAAAAGAGGGAGAGAGGAGAGAGGATAGAGAGAGAGGAAGAGGAGGAGAGAGAGAGAGAGAGAGCAGAGGGAGAGGACAAGAAGAGAGAGAGAGAGAGAGAAGAGAGAGAAAGAGAGAGAGAGAGAGAGAGAGAGAGAGAGAGGAGAGGAGAGAGAGAGAGAGAGAGAGAGAGAGAGAGAGAGAGAGAGAGAGAAGAGAGAGAGAAGAGAGAGAGAGAGAGGAGAGAGAGAAGAGAGAGAGAGAGAGAGAGAGAGAGAGAGAGAGAGAGAGAGAGAGGAGGAGAGAGAGGAGAGAGAGAGAGAGAGAGAGAGAAGAGAGAAGAGAGAGAGAGAAAGAGAAGAAAGGAGAGAAGAAAGAGAGCAAGAAAGAAATCAATAGATGCATAGATAAAGTGACGGACCTGACAAAAACGTTAATTTTTCTCATGCCTCGAATAACGTTCACTTCAAGGTGCTTCAGTGGCTCTTGTATGCAGAAAGATTAATGAAGAGAGGTAACGCAAAACAAGTCCTTTATAAATATTCTACAAACATTTGCAAAGAATAGTTAGACATTTTTAATATCCATGGCTCAGTCACACACGCACACGCACACACACACACACACATAGACAGTCATACACAGACATACACACACACACACAACACACAGACATAAACACACACACAACATACATACACACACATACACACACATTATATATATATATATATATATATATATATTATATATATATATATATAATATATATATATATTTTTTTCAAACTGTCTTGCTGCTAAAATTACAACCTCGAATAACACAACCGTTGTTATCACAAAGTCTTTACTAAGCCAGCTGTAAAAATGGCTTACTTGAAACTTCCTCTATCCAAAGGACGATTACTATTTTATGTTGTTTTTTATCATAAGTTATTTGACTTTATTCCTTCGGGCGCCGAGTTACTACGGTCGATCATTGACTAACGGTCTTTTTAAAAGAAAAAAAACTTTTATCCTGTTATATTCTTATGCTCTTCTCTTCCATTCTCTCTTTTCCGTTAAACTCTTCTTCTCTCCCATTCTCGCTTTTTTCTTTGACTTTCCTTCTCTCTTCACTTTTCTCTCTCATTCCCTCTTTTCCGTTTAAACTCTCTCCTCCTCTCATTCCCTCTTTTTCTTTGGCTTTCTTCCTCTTCACTTTCTCTCTCTCATCTTCTCTCCTTCTCTACTTTCTTACTTAAACTCTCCTCCTCTCCATTCCTCTTTTTCTTTCCTTACTCTCTCTTCTCTCCTTTCACTTCTCTTAAACTTCTCTCTCATTCTCTCTTTTCCTCTCTCCTCCCTCTCATTCTCTCTCTTCTTAATTCTCTCCCATTCTCTCTTATCGCTTAATCTCTCATTCTCTCCTAGTCTCTCTTTTTCCCTTAAACTCCCCTCCTCTTTCATTCTCTCTTTGCACTTCTCCCCCATTATCTGTCTTTGCATGTCTGCTACCTTGTGGTTATCGACATTCAGATCTTAAAAGCTTCTTATCAGAACAGAAGAAGAAAAAGAAAAATGAATATGAAAAAGAAGGAGATGAAGAAGAAAAAGAAGATCAAGAAGGAGAAGAAGAAGAAGAAGAAGAAGAAGAAGGAAGAAGGGAGGAGGAGGAGAGAGATAAGTATAGTAATAATAAGACAAAGAAGAAAAAGAGGAAATAATAATAATGATAAGACAAAGGAGAAAAAGAAGAGAAAAATAAATAATAAAAAAAAGAAGAAGAAAGAGATGAAGTAGAAGAAACTGACCTACTCGTCCAACGACCTTATCTGAAAGTGGTCGTAATAGGTCGTTCGTGGTCATTTCTCGGTGAGGGAGATACGACCCTATTTTTTTTTTTTTTTTTTTTTTTTGGAAATACACTAACGATTACTAAACCTATAAATCTTATTTTCTCTGTAGATTATTTCCCCCCCGAAAGTCTGCAGTTTATCGGAAATCTAACAAAAAAGTAGAAAAGAAAGAAAGAAAAAACGTCAAATGTGCAAAGTTGTTCATGATACAACATGCAGGTAAAAGCGTTCGTTATTATGCTAGAAATGCATGTTTACAGGTAATTTAGCAACCAGGGCGACCTACGAAATACGAAAGCGGTTTAATAGCCGATAGATCTGATTAAAAAAAACGTAATAACTACGCTATCAACAGTGATTACAGCATTAACAACAAATAAAACAACAATAACAACAACGGTAACAAAAACAATCACAATAACAGTTACGACAACAACAGTAACAACATTGATAACAACAGTAACAACAAAAACAACAAGCAACAGCAACAACACGATAAGACGCCATAAATGTACATATTATAGTACAAACACAGCTGAACAGTACAGTACTTTTTTATCGCACCAAAATCGTGTCGAAAAAAAATTATGAATGAAAATCTTCGCAACACGGTGGCGACATCTACGTAGAAAGAGGAGTGATAAAAAAGAGGGAGGAAGAAGGGATAAATAGAAAGGAGGAGGAGGAGGAGAAGGAGGAGGATGTATAAAAAGAAGGAAGAATAAAAAGGAAAAAGGAGGAGGATTATATCTCTGACGAAGATGTAATCAAACTCACACCTCTTGGGCCGTGAAGTTATTCATTCTCATTCGTTCAATCACTCATTCACTCTTTTTTCATTCCTTTATCTTTCCTTTCTTTTCCTTCTTCTCTCCTTCACTCATTCTCACTCCTCCATTTCTTTTCATTCTCTTCTTCATCTATTCTCACTCCGTCATCTCTCCTTCATTTATTCTCTTTCCTTTATCTCCTCTTCATTCATACTTCCTTTTCACTCTATCTCTTCCTTCCTTATCTTCTTAGTTCATCCTCACTCCATCTATTTTTTTAAATTTTCTCCTTCCTTCATTCTCATCCTTCTATCTCTCCTTCCTTCATTCTCACTCCATCATCTCTTCCTTCCCTCTCTCCTTCATTCATCCTCCCTCCATCATCTCATCCATCCCTCTCTCCATCCATCCTCCCTCCATCATATCTTCCTTCCCTTCTCTCCTTCATCCAACCTCCCTCCATCATCTCCTTCCTTCCTTCTCTCCTCCATTCATCCTCCCTCCATCATCTCCTTCCTTCCCTCTCTCCTTCATTCACCCCCCTCTACCTCCTTCCTTCCTCCTCTCTTTCATCCATCCTCCCTTCATCATCTTTTTTTTTTATTCTCACTCCTTCCTTCATTCTCATCCCTTCATCTCTCTTTCATTCTCTGCTTCTCTCTTTCCTTCCCTCTCTCCTTCCCTCATTCTCATCCCTTCATCTCCCCTCCATCCATCCTCCCTCCATCATTCCTTCCCACTCTCTCTTTCATCCACCCTCCCTCAACCATCCCCTTCCTCCCTTCCCTCTCTCCTTCATCCATCCTCCCTCCATCATCTCATCCTTCCCTCTCTCCATCCATCTTCCCTCCATCATCTCATCCTTCCCTCTCTCTCCTTCATCCACCCTCACTCCACCACCCCCTTCCTCCCTTCCCTCCAACCTACCTGGCTTGGGTCTCTGAGGCGGCTGCGTCTGCGTGGTGGCGTTGTGGTAGTGAAGCCCCGAGATCTTGTGGCGGAAACCCCCCCAGCCAAGGCTTCCGCACCCCCGCCCACTCCACCTCCACCACGACCTCCCGCTCTCCGACTCCGGCTGCGAAAGATGGGAGGGGGAAGAGGAGGATGAGAGGGGTGGTGAAAGAGGGAAGGAGGAGAGGAGGAGGGAGGAAGAGAGGGGTGGTAAAAGTGGAAGGAGGAGGAAAGAGAGGGTGATGAGAGTGGGAAGGAGGAGGAAGAAGAGGGTGATAAAAGAGGGAAGGAGGAAGAAGAGGATGAAGGGGGGGGAAGGAGAAAGGGGGAGGATGATAAAAGAGGAAGAAGGAAGAAGAGAGGATGGTAAAGAGGGAAAGGGGAGAAGAGGAGGATGATAAAGAAGGAGAGGCAATAGAAGAGGGAAGGAGGAGGAGGAATAAACAGAAGGAAGGAGATGAAGGCGGAGGAGAGATAAAAAGAAGGAAGTCGAAGAGGAAGAGGGATAAAACGAAGGAAGAAGAATGAAGAAGGAATAATAAAAGAGGGAAGAAGAAGGAGCAGGAGGGAAAAAAGAAAAATAATAAACAGAAAGAAGAAGAAACAGACAATAAAAGAAAGAAGAGGAGGAAGAAAAGTATCATAAAAATAGGAAGAAGAAAAAGGAGGAGGGAAGAAGGAAGGGATAAAAATGATATAACGATGAAATGATAACTTTAGAGAGAGAGAAAAAAACAATATATATCTGGATAAAGAAACAAATTGATAACGGAAGGATGATCAGTATGACGTAAACATATGAAATGTCATGAGTATGAGATTAATAAGCATCAGTGAGAATTAAAATATTCATCAGTGCATGGAAAGATATCCCCTAATTTTTCCCCCAAAATAAATAAACAAATACACACACAAACAAATAAATAAACCCAAACAAACAAATTAAACGTGCAAACAAACGACTTACCAAACAAATACTACCAATCAAAAACAAACATATATAAGAAATCAAGCAAACAAACAATCACAACCAAAACAAACAAATGAACAACCAATAATACAAACAAACACAACCAACCAAAACAAACAAACCATGAAAAAACACAACCAAAACAAAAAATGAAACAAAAAACACAACCAAAACAAAAAATGAAACAAAAAACACACAAAACATGATAAACAATTAAACACAAACAAAACAAACAGAAAACAATCAACATAAATAAAAACAAACAAACAAACACACGCCCTCACCCTCAGCGACGATCACAGTGATGACATCCGGCGTCGGGATCGTGGGCGTGGTGGGCGCCAGGAGGGTCAGCGGGTGGGTGTGCGGGCGCTTGGAGGACACGCCCACTTGGACCGTCTCGTTGGCCTCCACGCCCATGTCTCGCAAGGTGGAGACGTCACTCAGGACACGCCCGCGGAGGACCAGCTGGTGGGCGGGTGCAGGAGGAGGAGGAGGAGGAGCAGGAGCAGGAGAGGAGGCAGAGGAGGAAAATGAGGAGGAGGAGAGGAAGGGGAGGATCAGGAGGAGGAAGGGAGGGAGCAGGAGGAGGAGAAGGGAAGGAGCAGGAGGAGGAGGAAGGGAGGGAGCAGGAGGAGGAGGAAGGGAGGTGCAGGAGGAGGAGGAAGGGGAGGAGCAGGTGAGGAGGAAGAGAGGGAAGGGGAGGAGGAGGAGAAGGAGGAGGAAGGGAGGAGGAGGAGGAGGAGGAGAAGAGGAAGTGGATGGAGGAAGAGGAGCAGCAAAATAAGAAGAAAAAGAATAATAATAATGAAGAAATGGAGGAAGAGGGTGAACAAGAAAAGAAAAGTAAAAGAAAAAAAAAAAGAAGAATGAAGAAAAGGAGAAAAGGAAGAACAAGAGAAGGAAGAGGGAGAGAGAAGGGAAGAAAATATCGATAAGATTGTAGGGTCGTGTTATAAATTCAGCGTTGTATAACGAGAGTGCTAAGTATAGAAACCATAATGACCATATGGCAGGAACCTACAACTGGATTTAACACTATTGTACATGATATAAGTATTTGTATACCTACCGTATCACGTAGTATTTTTTAAATATCATAATTTTTTTAGATTTACATTTTTTATATTTATTATTATTATTATTATTATTATTATTATTATTATTATTATTATTATTATTATTATTACTATTACTATTATTATTATTATTATCATTATTATTATCATTATTTTGTTCTTGACTTCTACTAAATGTGGAGAAAGTTGAAGTAGAAAAGGTGGAGAACTTCGACAGCAGTACACATTAATCATTAATAATTTTGGGGATTGACACGCGAGAAAGAACGGATATGCACGATTTTTTTCTCTACGTTATCATGCTACCATCACATGATTATATATATTATGTAGTTTTCAGGTTACGCCTGAGAGGAGGAAGGGGCATGGTAAGAGCATTTGCCGGTGAATCTTTTTTTTTAGAATATTAATTAGGAGACATATCCAGTGGGATACGCATACAATCGCTTATACATACACAAATACACATGCAAACACACAAACACATACTTCCCGACATCCCCTCCCCTCATACACATGTACAGTATCATACTAAGTTAATATGCAATACAATCGTGCATAGATACCCGCCCATCCGTCTCAACGAGTTACTCTCCAAGGGTGGTGTCAAACTAGCAGTATTTCCGTGGTTCTTTCACGTTTTTTTTTTTTTCTCTCTCTCTTTCTTTGCTACCGCTGGCATATTGGCCGAATGCGATAATTTCCAGTCAAACGATAATTATTGTTTTCGCTTGCAAATTTTTCGTTGGCTTTTTGGTTAAAATCATGTTATAGGAAATAACCGTTACGGTAATGCAAAAAAAATCTCTTGTATTTAATAATAACTGATACAAGTTGGTAATGTGCTGATCGCCTGTTTGTTTACATTTGTCCCCACGTTTCCCTGCCAGCTGACTAGATGGGAGTAGCGAAAATACGCTCTTAGTTAGCATTATAAATAGTTGTTTCGCATTAAATCGTTGCCACATAGCCTAAATAGCGTCCATTATCGCCAGAGCCTGCGCGGGGGTTGGAGTCATCTTGTGTTTAGACTGTTTCCGTGGTTCTCGTCGCTAGTGTGACTGCACGCGCCAAAATGACCACGGTTGTTGCCAGCGGGAAAACAATGCGGAAAAAGTCCATGTGTGACACGGCAAGTAATTATTAAAGGCCCTATCACCCTAGCACTTTTTCTGTCAATTTTTTGCGTTTCCGAATGAACTCCGTATGAAAATCATGTAAACAAACATGGCGCTATCGGACTGAGGTCCCGGGAATCACACGAACATTCTCATACATATTACGTTATTTTAAGGAAATATGATGATGTATATATATACGAATGTTCTTAAATATTAGCTTATGTTTACATTCACCCATCCTATCTAATTTATTAACAGCACAAGATCAACACGGAAATTAGTCAGACGGAAACGGTCGTAACCGTCTTGGTCTGGAAAGCGTTCCGTTTGTAGACGATCCTTGCGGAGAAAGAAATTGACGGAAAAAAGTGCTATTGTGATAGGGCCTTAAAGGCACGGGCCTTACCACCCGAAGATACGCAGAACTCGAAAGTAAAAGTATTAAGGGATCCTTAACACTTTTAATCTCTCTAGCCTAGAATTTCGCTCGAAGACACAGTCGCGTTCTGAAAATACTCTTGGGTGAGAAACGGAGGATAAATAATGATAATAAAGGATAGGGTGATAATGATAATTAAATATAGGATGATAAATAATGATAATAAAAATGGGAAAATAAATAATGTTAATTAGATATAGGATGATAAATAATGATTAAATATAGGAAGATAAAAAAATAACATGATAAATAATGACAATAAGTAAGAGGATACATAATGATGATAAAATATAGGATGATAAATAAGGATAAATGATAAGGGGAGAAATTATAATAGAGAAAAAATTAAATGCAACAAAAATAAATCATGAAATAATAAAATTAATAATAAAAACAATGAATAATGAAAATAAACAATAAGCCATAATATCAGTAATGAATGATGAGATAATGAATAAAAAATAAGTTATCAGATAATATTAATGAAGGATAATCAGGAAAATAAAAGATAATAAATTATGAAAATAAACAATTTCATACGTGATAATAATCCCGAATACAAAGTTAATAAAGGATAATTATTATTGATAAACCAAATAATGATAGAAAAAATAAAGACACTCTTAAACGTAAGAAAGGAACAGAATGCGTACGGCAACGATGCAAGACGTGCAATCAGGGATCTCTACCGCGGCACGTTTTGGGTACGTATAGATTCTTCCGGGCTCTCTTCGCTATTGTAATAACCATTCTCTTTTTAGCTTTTATTTTTTGTTGTAATTCTCGGGAAAGTGACGTTTATATAAAATTGCACAGATACGAGATCGGGTGGATGTCTGACCTTCTCTTTGACTTCAGGGTCCCTTTGGCTTCACAGTGTCTTTGACCTCAGGGTCTTTTTGGCTTCAGGTTCCGTTTGGCTTCAAAGTGTCTTTGACTTCAGGGCTCCTTTGATTTTAGGGTCCCTTCGACATCAGGGTTCCTTTAGCTTCAGGTTGTCTTTGACTCATTCAACTCCTTTAGGCTCCTGGGTTTCCTTTGGCTTCTCCCCGTCCCTCAACCTTGCCCCCCCTACCCCCCATTTGCCTTCAGTGTGTCTTTGACTTCAGGGTATCTTTCACTCAAGGAACCCCTTTTGGCTCCTGAGTTAACTTTAGCTTCTCCCCGCCCCTCATCCTTGTCTTGCTTCCCCCCTTTGTCTGCTAGGTCCTTTTTTGGCACCCAGTCCTCTCCCCTCCCTCCCCTTGGCCCCGGACTCCCCCTAGAGCTCTGAAACCGGGTACGATATCCACCCCGCACCCCTTTCTCGCAGACGTGTCATAAATATCTCGATATCATCAACTCCATCGGAATAAGTAAGTCAGTATCTTTTTTTTTAAGCTGCAGAAATGTCAGAAAGACACCTCGCATTATAGAATTGTTATTATTATCATCTTTTTTATATACTTATCTTACAAGAACTCGCGTTATGGGGCTATTCATTCTTATCCATATCTATTTTCTAATATCTCCCATCTGAAATTATTTATTCTTATTAACTTCGCAAATTCGCCCACTTGGTATAATTCTAATTCAGTTTTGCAATAAAATACCTCATTTGGGATCTTATACACTTCCAATCATTTCGCAAAGTCAACCCGGAAATATCCATTTTTATTTGTCATCCAAAATCTCTCGCCTGAGGTTATTCGTTTCTATTTAATTTACAAAATCTTCCTTGGACTAAATTCTTATTCATTGCATGATTTCCACACCTTAATAAAGTATTCATTTTCATTCATACACATTTCACAACATCTCCCTGTTGCCAATTATCAATTTCAATCAATTTCACAAATTCTCGCACTTGGACTTTATAATTATTATTCAATCTAAGAAATCTCGCGGCTAGATTTTTTTTTTCATTTCGCTTT